GGAAAGAGAGGCTGGGAACGACTGGGCCATAGAGGAGGTAAATTTTGATTTTGGTGTAGGAAAAGTCTAGAAACAGAGTTCCCAAACCTGACTACACTTAAGAATTACTGGGGAACCTATAAAAATCATATGACTAACCGGGTGCCATCTCTGACCTAGTGGATCAGATTCTCTGAGGGTGGAACTATATTCTTGATAAGCTCTCCGGGTAGTTCCTAGGCAGGCAGGTTAGCCTTGGTGCATGGACTTGCGTTTGAAAACCCATGGTTTAAATAGAGGGGGCACATGCGGTTTCCCCAAATGTGGGAAACTCGACTGCGTAGTTTGTGGTAGTGGGGGACTGCGTTCGTGCTTTCCCATGAAAAAAAATATAGAGTTGGGGGGTAGAAGCTGGAGGACAGGCTGGGCTGTAACACATAAGTGAGGGACCCTGGAAATCCAAGTACCTGAAGCAGATCCCCAGTAGGCAGGAGGAAAGTTTAAGGTGGGCTAGTGTCTGTTACATGGAATAAACATATCTTCTTCAGAAGTTTCTTGCTAGCCAGCACTGGTTGATTTTAGGGTGGCAGAAGCTCTGGTCTATTTATCAAGATGCTGCTCTACTACTTATCTAGGCCACCCTCGCAGAGAGTGAATTCAGAAAGGCTGATTTTTATTCTCTAAGCTATGTATTTCATACTGCCGTGAGATTCTTCCTTTTTGATTCCTTTACCCTTAAAGTTACACTGTCTTATTTTTCTCAACCTGTCACCTGCTAGAGTTGTGCTGGGTAGATGATAAATGGTGATATGATAGATAATATTTATTGAGTGTTGACGGTGCTAGTGACAGTGCTAAGTGCTTTACATAGATGAATTCATCACTCAGGCTGTTATTTTTATCATTTAAAAATGATGGAGCTGGGCTTCCCTGGTGACGCAGTGGTTGAGAGTCCGCCTGCCGATGCAGGGGACACGGGTTCGTGCCCCAGTCCGGGAGGATCCCGCATGCCGCGGAGCGGCTGGGCCCACGAGCCGTGGCCGCTGAGCTTGCGCGTCTGGAGCCTGTGCTCTGCAACGGGAGAGGCCACAACAGTGAGAGGCCCGAGTGCTGCAAAAAAAAAACCCAAAAAACAAAAAAAACCAATCAAATCCTAGAGCTGCCACTTAGCAGCAGCAGGATTGCAGAAATAGAATGTAACCTCAGCTCCAACGGGAGGGACTACTGTCACTGGACTTAGAATATGAGGCAAGGCAAGAGCCAGACTCAGTGTTAGCAGTCTGTTCTTTATTTCTAGTATTTTTCTCCCCTTGTTTTATATTGCCAGTCTTTGGAGTTGTTGGGTAAGATGTGGAACCTTACTAATGGAACCCATTGCCTTGGCATAAGGGCAGGGACCTCCATCTATTATTGCACATCTACCATAGGCCAGCTAATGTGCTAAGTATAATACTCCTTAGGATGGCCATGTGGTGTGGGGGCAATTTCATTAAACCCATTTTACAGATTTGGAATTAGAAAGGCTCCAAGATGGTAAGTAACTCAGTTTCAATCACATAACGTAAAAAGCATAGAGCCAAAACTGTGAACCAGGATCTAACTCCCCAGCCTTGTCTTCTCTCCTCTCTGCCTCTGAAATTCATGTCCTTCCCAAGACAAAGTTATGACCATGCCAGGAAGTCTTCCCAGGAGAGAGAATCTACAGAAGGTCCAGGAACCATAAAAACACTTGAAATCAGGAAGAGAAGATTGCCAGGCAATTCCTTTGCTCTGAGGAACTGGAATGTAGCAGGATTTTCTACCTTTTTCGGAATTGAGAAACAGAGCCCTTTCAGACCTAATAACACAAATTGTCACAAGAAAAGCGACTGCTATTTTAGTTGGTAGTTTCACACTTTCTGCTTGCTATTGAGACACACTTTTCTCCCTGCTTCAGCTGTTCAGCTGGGCCTAGTTAGAAACTCCCAGAGTGTGGGTAGCAGATCACCTCATGCTAGAAGCATAAAAGGAACCACTCAGTTGGGTGGCCAGCCTGATTATCTCCACTGCCTTAGGTTTTTCTTTAGCTGCCTTGGTATTAATAGTTGCCAACAAAGCTGAGAAGGAGGCCTGAGCTTCTCCCTCAGCTTCCCCTGCTCCATTCTCGGCTCGCCCTGTGGCCTCTCCCCATTACTCAGAGCCCACAATCCACTGACGTCGGGGATTCAGGGCCTAAGAGTTCTTTCACCGCGAAAGGGATTTTCTTTCCTTCTCTTTATTTGATAACTCTTAATTTTCAATCAATCCAGCCAATGAAAGTATTGGACACACTATCTCTGCCAGGCTGTGGAGATACAAAGCATTAGGAGTTCTTGCCATCAGGAAATCCATGGTTTATCTGTCCAGTACTTTTGAATTCTGAAGCCACCAGGGCCCACCCAGTGATTGGCCCTGGTCCTTGGATATCAGGAAAATCGTGGACTCAGATGGAAGCCTTGTGAGCAGACTGTTCTGACAACTCGTAATAGCAGCTGAGCAGTAGAGAGAACTGAAAAGCGTTACTCCCAGCATCTTGGTCTTGAAGTGACAGTGGAGGAATGGACTCAAAAGGGTTTTCCATTCAAATGGTACATGTATCCAGCCTTCAGCCAGAACTTTCTGCAATATGCAGGTCTCCCCACGCAAATCCCACCTCCTCTTGCCTCACTGCTGCGAAAATTTCTCTTACACAGTCCCATTGTAATGGAGCT